CTGTCAATATACTGCTGCAAATGTTTCTGAATTATCTTCAGTAAGATCTTACTTGCGTGCGATATTAATGATATTGTTCTATAATTTCCACATTCCGTGGGATCACCTTTCTTTAGAATGGGCACAATGTATTGCTTATTAGGATTTCTGTATTGCTTATTTCTGGTTGGGAAATAGTTTAGAATATAAGTGGACATGAATTCCATGTTTTCCTTTCTCTGCTATGTATGAAGAGATAAGGAATACTGGAGTATTTGCATTTGTAGTATCTTCACAGCCATACAAAACCGTATCTAAAACATATTGTTAGGCATATATAAAATAAGTGATTTGGGGCTTTTGGGGCTGTAGAAAGCATTATTTATGAATATTACCATTGCTTTGTACTAATTTACTTGATAGGAGCTCTGATAGCATGGTGCCTAAGGCACTTAACTGCTAACCAGAAGGCTGGCGGTTCAAACCCAGCAGCCACTCCTCAGAAGGAAGGTTGGGCAGTCCTACTTCTGTAGTGATACTGCCTCAGAAACCCAAGGAGGGGTCGCTGTGAGTCGGGGCTGACTCGATGGCACACAACAATAATTTACTTGATAACTACCATTTTATTTTTGGTATTATACATTTGGGTAAATAATTGTGTGACATTAAGTTTTTTCTTATTTTGCAACATTTACCTTTTGTTTATAACCAAACCAAACTCACTGCCATCCAATTGGATCTGACTCATAGCGACCCCTCCTTGGGTTTCCAAGGTGGTACACTACAGAAGTAGATTGCCCAATCTTCCTTCTGAGGAGTGGCTGGTGGGTTTGAACCACCAGCCTTCTGGTTAGCAGTCAAATGCCTTAGGCACTACACCACCAGAGCTCACTTTTAATTTCTGCATTATACAAATATAAATAATAATAAATATTTTAAATTTTCTTTTTTGTGATATGTGAACTATGTCACTAGCTATAAAAAGAAAACCCAAGTGACATCTCAACAGGTAGTGTCACTGGTAATGCATTGTGAAAAAAAATTGCCTGAAAACGTGCATTCTTTGGGGACTTATGCTGTCACTTGTTGAAGAAAATGAAAGTGTGTCTTATTTGTCTGACAAAGCAATTTAAGTTTATATAGTATTTAATTAGATTACAATTTTTACAAATCATTAAAGTCCTGTTGGGTGCCACAATGTCAGAGAAAAGGATGAAAAATTAGTCTCTGAATACTTAAGCCCACACCATAACCTAAATACTTCCCTCAAGAATCTTTCTAGAGTAGCATTTTGGACACATTTTATAAGTATGTACTAGGGTAAAACGCATTAGAAGTCCATGTGGCATTTAACAGGAAGTAATAGCAGCTGGAACTGATAAGATAACCATGATAGAGTTTTTCAAAATGGCAAACTGACTCAAAATCCTGACTTTGGACAATTATAAGGACTACAAATTATTTTAAAAGTCAGTCTTTATTTTCTTTCCTTTTAAAAGTTCTTAATTATATAATAGGAGCTCTGGTAGTGCAGTGCCTAAGGCACTTGACTGCTAATCAGAAGGCTGGCAGTTCAAATCCACCAACCACTCCACGGAAGGAAGGTTGGGCAATCTACTTCCATAGTGATACTGCCTTGGAAACCCAAGGAGGGGTCACTATGAGTCAGGTCTGACTCAACAGCACATAACAACAACAATTATATAATAAATGCATGATCACTATAGAAAACTTAGAAAAATTGATAGGAAAACACTAAAAATAAAATGAAAATCTCCCTAAATTATATCACCCTAACCTAGTAACAAGGAGCTCTAGTAGCGCGATGGATAAGCATTCAGCTGCTGATTTGAACCCACCAGATGCTCCTTGGGAAAAAGATGTGGCAATCTGCTTCCATAAATATTTATAGCCTTGGAAATCCTATGGGGGCAGCCCTAGTCTGTCCTCTAGGGTTGATATGAGTTGTAATTGACTTAACAGCAACAGGTTTGGCTGGATTTTTGGTAAGCTAAGGCATTTGACTGCTAACCAGAAAGTTGGCGGTTCGAATCCGTCAGCCATTCTGCAGAAGGAAGACTGGGCAATCTACTTCTGTAAATATTTACCACCTCGGAAACCCAAAGGGGGTTGCTCTG